CAGTGTCTATCAAGGAAAAAAGTTTCTCCTTTAAAAAAAAAGAAATACTCTTTAAAAAAAAGTATAATATACAGAGTTGCTGGTTTCTGATATGGAAAAAAATACACATTTTAATAATTGTGCGATGAAAAACTGCTTAAGTACACATTGCAGATCAAAATACTTGGAGTTAAAATGTTAGTCTATATAGATGGGTGATTGTAACTTTATTGCTATTAAGAGATTTCAAAACTGCATTTATGCTTCTGTGTACATGGGATTTTAAAACAAAAAAAATGGGCAAAATAATGAAGGTTGATATTTCTTTTAGTCTGCTTTGTTTAATTTTGCTGTCTGCTCTCCTATAATGTTGAGTTCCTAAGTGTACACAGTGTAGTGATATCCAGGAGTATAAAGTTGTCGCCCATCAATAAAAAAAAGTCACAAAGTTGGTTTAAAGCTTTAAGAGTGTTCTTTGACTGCGAAAAAGGGCTCAGCTAGAAAGGACAGAAAGTTAGAATGGGAGGAAGCTGAAATGAAGACTAATCCTTTGTAAACTAAATAACACACAAAGAAATGCCGTTGAGTGCTCTGTCATTGGAAGCAAATATCTTGAGAAAAGTAATTGGACACATTCAGTCTTTCCAAACCAGTTGCTCCAGGTGTTGTTCCAGGAGTGTCCAAAGGATATGATAAAAAAAACTCAAGGCTATTGAAGCTCCACCCATTTTTTTGTGTGTTGAGGTGGCCCTAATAATTAAAAGGGATGTTCAGAGATGGAATGCCATTGAACTCTAGGTTCTAGGGAGCAGGCAGGATGTGATCTGCCTTGTAGATTTCACAAATGGCTATACATGGAAATAAGATAGAAATAAGGTAGACCTTTGGCCTCATCCTGTGTGGCTCATCCATTTGTGTTAAGATGTCAGGATTCTGGCTTCTTAATTATAAATTCAATGGCTCATATTCTACTTTGAGATTGTGTGATACAAGTGATTATAGTAGGTATGTTGGGAAAAAATACTGTACATAAGTAAGGATATAAGCTGGTATCTTCTTTTATAAAGTTGACATGTTTTAAGGTTATCTCTCCTTCACATCCTCCCTCCTTGCAGATGGTTTAAATCTATTTACTTACTTAAATTATCTCTAGACTGCCCCAATCAAGTCTTGGACAGTGAATATCAAAGGATAAATCAGAAGAAGCAACAATACCAAATTAATTACAAGTGCAATACAACTGGAGCCAAAGGCATGGTGAAGTAAGAATCTGATGAAACATAAGCAGGGAGGGGGCCAAATATATCTCCAAGGAAAGCATGTTCTAGAGCATGGGACTCTTATCATCCAGCCCACATATTTGTACATTTTTCTGGTATTGTGATACCAAACAGAACTTTAGCCACTAATCTTGGTTTATTATTTTGGGGAAAGAGTGGGAGAATCATTGTCTCCACAAATCCATGTTAATGCTCTGCCAAAAGCCAAGTACCACCCCCATTCCACATCCTGCTTGTGGTGAGGATTACTTTAGAGAGTGAACAGAAGAATCAGCAGGCACGTAGTATCTTTGGAAGAGCCATGATGGATTCACATTTTCTTGCACAGTTGAATTGTGTTGATTCTTCCTTTTGGACTTTGGAAATTTGAAGTCCATCTGCCAGAACATCTGTGAGTATGTGATGTGTCCTCTGGACTGGTTGGGAACTTCCTGCTGAGAGAAATTACAAAGTGGGAGGGGGGAGTTTTGAGAATTCAGAACTGATGCCTTGTGATTTAGTAGTCCCCCTTTCTTCAAAGAAATGGCCATTCTTGGAGACAGTTGGCACATATTATTTGTCTTGACTTCAGCTAATTCAGCCCTATAAAAGGTTGCGATGTCAACGGTCATCAAGTCAGCGAAAAGCTTTCCTTCCCTTTCTCCTTGGCCTGCGTTGAAACGTACTGTACAGTTGCTGGACAGATACTGCAGCTGGAGAGCTGGCCACGGGATGTCCTTACTTTGCCTTGGCAGTGGGATCTGTTGCTTTAAGAATTTAATGGCCTCTGAGCAGTTTAGAATAAAATAAGTGCCCTTTTAAAACATTGGGTCATAACAGTTGCAATAAACAAGACATCATAGAGCTGTAAAATATAATATAAACCAGACTTTCCCCCTTACAAGGCTTGGACAAATAGGATTTTTTGCCTGGTGCTGAAAAAGACGAAAAGCATATGTGGGAAAGGAGAACAACTTTCCTCATTTCAAAGGCCCATTGGGGTGGGTGGGAGTCCAAAGAGATCCTCCCAAACTGGTCTTAACTCCTAGGGAAGGTAATTTGGGGAAGAGGCCCTTTCATTTTGAACTTGTGAAAGAGGCATGGAGATGGCTTGGCTTGGCTTGGCTTGGCTTAGCTTATCAAGGTGGCATCTCAGCCTTAGCTGGCCCTTCCCAATGAGTTGTACTGGGAACATGAGACTTCTATACACCAATAAAACTTGTAGAGAAAGCCTCCTCTTGCTATTGAAAGTGTTTGGGCTGTAGAGCTGGAGGAAGCAGAGAGACATGGCTGTTTTGGTTGGGGGGAGATTTGGAGCAAAGGGGCCACATTGTTTTGTCAATCAGCTTTGTACAATCCTTCAGCAAAATGAAGCACCCCTTCAGAGTTTTGCATAGCCTGAGTCTGAATTCTGGATTTCCTTCCAAGACTGTCCATATAGAAATTCCCACTTTCAACCCAGTATCCAGTGAGACGTGCCATGCTGTAGGAATCCATGCTAAAAGGCTTCAGGATGGAGGGGCTGTGAAAACAGGTGCCAGTGAAAAATGACCATTCTTACTTAGACTCAAGATTACAGCAGATTTGTGTGGGAGCATAAAATTTTGATTGGACCTCTGCCATTCACAACTCAGCGTCTTAAATCTGAGTTCCAAAACGGATGTGGCAATGCTGGAGCCCTAGCTAATGCATTTCCAGTGCCACCTCACCAGAGGAAGCCAAGGTACCATGCCACATTCACCAACTCTGGAATCCTGTGTGATACCATAAATCCAATGCTCAGCATGGCTTAGTATGCTCTAAATCCAGCCAATTTTGGCATATTCAACAAAACGTTAACGTGATAAGATGTCCCCTCTCAGTTCCTCTCCCCTTGAACCTCTGGGTATTGGCTAGCAAGCCTTGGACAGAATACAGAAAATTAGGGACAGGCAACTACTTTGGAAAGATTTACTTCCGGAAGAATTCCCAAACCATATCGGGGATCGTGTGCTCCAGAGGGGGAGGAGGAGGAGGAAGAAAACAAGCCCAGCATAAGCCAGGAAGCCACAGGCTGCGTGTCTCCAGTTGCATGTCACTCTAAACCACAGTTGCAGACAATAATCCAACAACACAATTCCAAACTGGTTTTACTGCTCTAAAACAAACCTCAGGATATTCATTAATCCTACTGGGGCGTCATGGTGAGCCAGAAACGAGAACTATATCAAGCTGTGGGCATAGCTTCAATTTGTAGAAGGGAATCACACCAGTGATAGATTTGTTTTCAGTCTCTTTCCAAATGAATCTTAGCAAAGAATCTTCCCCATCTTTCTCACCTGGGGCAAACCTGTTTAATGCTCTGTCCACCACAGGTCCTTTACCCACCACTTATTTCAGATTCCATCAAAGCAAACCTTGAGCATTTGTTCAGTTTTCAAACATGAACAAAACATGAGATATTTGCAAAATCCAGGTTAATAATTATCCTAAAATTTTTAGGTTTTCAAAATACTTTCTTGTATTCCCAAGATAAACGCACACGTTAGGAAACAATAAGTTCCACATTTCGTTTTGCAATATCTGCTCTGCTAATAGCAACGTATGTTCTCAATTACCTTTTACAGTTTAATTGCTATCTTTGTTTTTAATAAGAAGCCCTGATACAGGCTGTAAAAAAAGAACTTTATTCGAAGAGAATTCTTTTATGGTGTGTTAAGTTGGAAGGAAATTGTGAAAGAGGAGACTTACGTATTTACAAATGAAACATCCTGCCCGAAGTGAAAGCTTGACAATATTTTTTGGTGTATTGATGCTTGCTATTTGAATGAAACCTAGTCCTTTCAAATGTACTACAACCATGTGACAGGAGATCCTGTTAGAATAAGGCAAAGAAAAAGTATTGGTAATAGTTGGCAGCTCTCATTTAATCCTGATGCTGTTGAAACCCTATCAGAACTGTGGAGGGATTTTTGGGGGTGGGGGAGTTCCTTTAAAAATGATCTTCATCCCAAGGATCATGCAATAATGCCAACAATAATGCAAACTAGCAACTTTCAGAATTGGCCAATTCTATTGAGCAATTCACCACATTGTTATCACCTAACCACAGTGGTGGTTTTTGCATGTGGGACTTCATGATTCTGCATGCTTTGTCATGGAACAAACTGTGTTGTCCAAAAAGAACATCTCAGTAACTGACTGTGTATAACCAGATATTGCAAATACTCTAGAACTGAGTTTCATCTGAGAATCTCAGGCTTAATTCATCATTAAATACAAGCATTTGAATATAGGAACACAGAATCAGACTTCCTTTCCTTTCCTCCTCTCTCAGCCTCGATTTTAATCTCAAACTTTCCTCCCATTTTCATTTTAAAATGTCCGGTAAAATGAAGACCATCAGAAGTTCTGTTCAGAAACAGCCATCTTTTGACTCAGCTTCTTTGGGCAAAACAATCTACTAACTTTGACTTTAAAGTTCATTAAGTACTTAAGCGGTTAAATGGCTTACGTTCCGCAGGATCTGGCTTGGAGTCCTTCGAAAATGGTTATATCTTTGGCTAATAGAAACATGAGAGGTTTATGGAACCTCCAGAGCAAGTGTGTCCAAATGTCATGGAAAAACATTTGTTGGCGAAAAAAATTGTCTTCAATGCCTTGCTTGTAAGTTTCTCCAAAGAACTTGACTTTCTCCTTAGTGAAAAGATCCTGGACTAAATGGAATTTTGGTCAGTCCCTACAACATTTAGTCTTTTGCTCCTGAACCTTCAGATATCTTTCTTCTTCCCCTTGTAATCCCTCCAAACACTAGCAATAAACCCTACTTTGAAGAGCACAGGCAGTTTGAAGGTCAGGAAGCTTTCCAATCTAATTTTGAGAGGCTAAGAATTGAACCTGTGACCTTCAGATGCCAAGAAGCATAGAAAGCTGTCCATCTGTTGATCTATTCAATCCTGTATAACTGGCACTGGCTGCCAGCAATTCATGTAAAGTTCAAGCAGTAAGTTTTCTGGTCTATCTGGAGAGGCCAGAAAGTAAGACTGTGTCCTTATCCAAGAACAGATGTTCTACTTGGATAAGTCAAGCAACTCCTCGGAAGCAGCTGGATCTTTTCCTCCGTATACTCAATCAAGGTTGCCTTCCAGATGAAGGAATCTTAACCAATTACACACATGTACTTAGAGCCAGTTAAATTAGCAAGCCTTCTAAAGCCGCCTCCAACTTTATGGACTGCATTAACTAGGTCTTGGATTGACTAGGATGGTAGGCATTCTGTCTGGCCTATAAAAAGCCTCAGAAAGGGTGAGAGTGAGTTTAGCCTCTGATAAAACCCATTCCCTCTTGCCCACAGGAGGGAGCTTTGAAAGACTGCTAGACCCCACATTCCTAGCTTTGCCTGTGGAAGCTCATTGGCTAGGACCTTACTGCTGGAACATCTTGTAAGGCCACCTTTAACATCCTTTCTGCCATAAATGAAAGATGACATGGGAAGCTCTTGTGGAGGGGAGTTTAACCTGAATATTAAATTTTCAAATTTGTCCTGTGAAAGTTTTTGATGTGAGAACTTAAGAATGGAACATTGAATGCAGAATGGGGAGGAATAGAGATACAATTAAATGTGTGTGTGCTCCCCCCCTCTCTCTCCCTCTCTGTACTTTTGAATACTTTCTATATTTTTGAATATTTTTCTCATGTCAGTGTGTGTGGGTGTGTGTGTAATTATACACACACACACACTGACATGAAAAAAATATTCAAAAGCATAGAGGAATTTGGGGGAAAGCCCCAATTTACCTAAGTGCAGCAAACAAGTTAACTGTTTCCTATGTAACTAATTCTTCATATAAAACTTGACAAGATTCATGTATGGAATTAATCTGCTAGATAGCCTCACATCATCTGTATTCATCATCGTGGCCTCAGGACAGTTAAATCCAGCTACTGGTTATGTTTAATGGATCTTACGTTTTATGAAGCGATGCACCGCCAAGTATCAATTACTGGATGAAATAGCAGGGCAACTCTACTGCTTTCATGCCTTGCTCATCAGCTTTCAGGAGAGTTTGTTCTGGCCACTAAAACCCAATCTTTTCTGATCTTGGAAGTTAAGCAGCATCTGCCCTGGTTACTTCTTGGATGGGGGGTATCTGGGGAATTCCAGGGTTGGCTGGGCTGGGAAGCTGTGGAAAAAAATCCAGGATTTGAAGGGTGTTTAAGGGTGGTTGCATCTGCCCCAATGTCTGGCTTGGATGACCTCCCTGAGGCAGTTTGGGTTTAGAATAGTCCAGCAGAGACGCTCTTACTCCTGCTGCTTCTGAGCCTTGGAACACATTCTTGGAAGGAAAATGATGGTTGATCCAGATTCATCTTCCATATTGTCCTTCCAGAGAAAACAAATGTAGGGCTTGTTTCAGCATTGCCTGATTGGTATAATGTCCTTCATTGGAACTTCAGCTCCCTTTTAACTTCCTTGGGGGAGGCCCATTTCTTGGGCAAGTGCAATCTGGAATCATCGGGGCCTCTTCGTTGACTGCAATTTAGTTGAACCCTTTCCATACCTCTCCCCAACTGTTCTTCAGGATGCACCCACAGATGGAAGAAAGGACTTCGCCTTGGACGGGAGAAACCTTTTCTCCCCCATCCTTAAATTTGGACGGGGTGGGGGTTGGGGGGGGGGGGGGGGGAGCTTGCCACCTTGTAGCTCTCTCTGAGTAATGGGCTTTGAGGAACAGGAAGAAGAACCAGAGCCAAGGCAGTGGCCAGATAAGTGAAATCTAAGTCCAGAGCAGGAATGTCACGTGAGAGAGCATCTCAGATTTGACCCTCTCTAATTCTCTCAAACATAACAGCAGGAAAGGGGGAGGCACATTCTGATCCTGTTACTGTAACTCTATAATAAAGATAGTTTTAGTATTCATGACTTTGGTGTTCAGGTCCGGTCTACCTCAAGGGACAGACACTCTGGAACTGTCTAGAAAATCTGTGCAGGCTATGCGTTTTTTTTCTCGGGGGGGGGGGACCTGCAGAAAAACTCCTCCTCTCCACCCCCCACCCGCCCCCATTTCAAGAAAGTCGGTCTCTTCTTTTTTCCTGCCTCCCTCCCCAGAACAGCCCTCTTTTCAGTGTCCTGGTAGGCTTGTCAATTACAACTTCACTCTGCCAGCTCTTTGCTTATCTTGACCCGGACCTTTGCCGGGAGAAAAAAGGAGAAAAGTTGATGGTGGCAGAAGTCAATAAAAATGGGATCTTTCTCATCTCCTGCTTGGTCTTTTCTTTTATCCCCGTGGGATGTTTCCCCCGCCTTGCTCCCACCGTCCCGTTTCGACGGAAGCCTCTTTTTTTCAAAGGGAGAGGGAGGGGAAGGCTTAAGGAAACGCATCTGCCGGGGCATCTCGGAATCCTCGACCCCTTGGCTTGCGTCGAGGATATCTGATGAAAAAGGGGGTGGGAAGCAGCGGGGTATATAAGGGCGAAAGAGCCGGCGATCTTCGGCAGTCCTTGGCCGGAGATCTGCAGAGAGCGGGAGACTTTCCGCCCGTCGCCCACCTCTTCTCCGCCGGGGACCAGAGACGCGGACACGCATTTCTTTCGCCCCAGCAGAATTCCGAGGATCCGATAACAATTTCACTTTTTCCTTTGCTCTTTGCAGAGGTAAGCGCCCCATTTGATTCCTCTTGCCGGGTTTGATTTAGCTGAGCTCTTTATCTCAAGCAAGATTTGCGTTTTCCTGCCGTAGAAACGCTCCAAGTCGAGCCTGCGGGGGAAGGCGTTGCGATGCCACCAGAAAGACTTTCTTTCTCTTTTTTCCTTAAACGCAGGGGGGAAAGCAGGCAGGGGTTAGGGTTTGGGAATAGAAACCTAGCGACAATTCCACTTTTTAGAAGCCTACAAGAGGTTCGAGAATGTGCTTGCTTTAAACCAGGATGTGCAACTTCCCTTTTCCCCTGTGCTAACTCTATAGCTGAATTGCAGCTTGCTTAGCCAGGTCAGGTACAAAGCTAGGGTCTGCGTTCACACAACTTTCGGTTAGTTTTAACCTTGCTTAGAGTTTCTTTCTTCCCTTTGGCTTGGCGCAGGCGAAGCTGGCTGGTTTGCTTACTTTATGATTAGCAGGGCACACCCAGGAAATAGGCGAATTCAGTGCTCGGGTGAAGCATCTTTGGGTCCCCATCTGGAGCAAGCCAACAGAGCATGGCTGACTTGTTCACAGATATCAGGTTGCAACAGAACAAGGATTTAAACTTTGCCTACTTGGTTTGATTGAACGGACCCATTTTTGCACAATTTGATGTAGAACATAGTATTATATTGCCAGTCTTCATGATCATTTTAATTTCTCCAGTCTCCCTCTTTAACCGGGGAAAACACAGCTTGCTTTGTCTCTCTCTCTGGCACTCCTTTCCTTCCTTTTTAAAAACATAATTATATATATATTCACCAACCCAGCCAGTTTTCCCATCGTTTTCCAAGATATTTGATCTCAATTTACATGTCTATTCATCTGATTTCCCCTTCATTATCTAAGATCATTCCTTTCCTCCCTCCCACGTGAATTACTCTTGATTCACGGCAGACACCTTGATGAGTCCTGGATCATTCCTTTTATAAAAGGTCCTTCTGTGGATGAAAGAGTAAGAGAGAACAGGATTCTTATCTGTACAATCCCAGCTCCTTCCGTCTCAAAAGAGATACCGGAGTGCAAATAAAGGTTTTAATACTTGATATTTGCCTATCTAGATGTGGAATGAAGTTTTAAACGTAACTCAATAGCTACACAACCTACGTTGTGAAGGAAACGCTCACTTAAGAGCTGGGGAAAACAACTGTATTTCCCCAGGTCTCCATGACTGGATGCATTCTATAGATCTGGCATTGACATAATAGTTGATCTGCCTGTTCCCTTTAACATATCATCGATTGATACGTTCAAGTCCATGTGCAGCCGTGGAAACTCATCTTGGGTGACTTACCCCAATCAACCTTGTGGGGATTAAATTGGAGGAGGGAATGCTATTTACACTATCTTGAAATCCTAAGGAAAGGTGGAATAAAAATCAAACAATAAAATAATTCCCAATAGGGAATGATGAGAAAGCTGTTAATTAACCTCTGAAGCTAAACTGTCTGACATGAGAACAAGTCCTCTTGGAAGTCAGCCTCAATGGGACTGATTTCTTTTGTGTGGGCTTCATAGGATTATATGATTTTGCTGTGGTCCTATACAACTTTGCCTGAGAGTAAGATCCATTGAACTTCATGAGAATTCCTTCTGAGCAGTCATGCAAGTGCTCTACATTGGCCTAATCCTATACTAATTTACTTACACAGAAAGCCTGTGCCATTCAATGGGACTTAAATATGCTCAATAATTGCAACTTTCATTAAATATGGTTGAAGTATTGCCAGCCTTACTAGGTAGACCAGGCAGGAAACATTACCAGATGAGCTCATTCTACTTTATTATAAGGCTGCATTAACAGAATCTTGCAAGTATCAAAGACCAATTCTCCCATCTCCTTTACTGCCTGAGAAACTAGAGTCTCTTCTGAGCCTCTTGCCTCGCCCATTATCCAGGTGTGGGCTATGCTGTCTCTTACCTGAACTTTCCCTAGGCAGCATGCCTTGGCCCAGTCTCCCAAGGTCTTTCCCACACTCCATTACAAGTATTTTATGATTAGAGAAAACCTGAAGCAAAGGAAAAGTTAAACAAAGTTGCCCAACAATTTAAATATTTTAATTGCTAAAGGAAAATTGAAGCTACAACCCTAAAGTAGATTGCCCTGCAGACTTAAAATTATGTGCATGAGTGAAAGAGTTAGGGAAACATAAGCCATTAATTTTGGGAATTCTAAACTTCTAGGTAAAACTTTATTAAGGTCATACTCCAAAAAGTTTACATGTATGTGTATATTTGTGCATTTGTGTTATCAGTTAAATTTGCAAACGTGTGTGTGTGTGTGTATGCATGTGTATTTTCAGGTTAAAATTTGCAAACAATGTTTCTTTAAATTTTACAAAAGGTAAAGCTGTCTGTGGTTTTCACTTCACTTAGGCCTTATTTGAATCCATATAAGATGAGGGTTGGGGTTAGGCTTAAATTCCTCACTCTGGGTCTGCTGTGGTTTAAAAAGTTCCTTTTTTTCTGCATTCGAGGGAGTGATTTTAAAACTGCATAGAAATAAAACCTGTTAGAAAAGGGGCAAATGCAGGCTGTAGCTGCATTTTAGGGTCTCCTTTTCCTGCATTCATAGCACTGATTTTAAAACTACACAAAAATTGAAAGCATCATTATTTATTTCATTAGATTTCATTGTTTTATTTATTTTGCAATGGACAAAATAGGGTTGGCTTCCCAAATACAGCACAGCCCAGGATTCTGTTAATTATTCACTTTACTTAATTTAGGTTGGAATCCACACAGGATTAGGGCTAGGTTTGGGGTAAAGCTAATCATGGACTCTAGGGTTGATGGTCACCCTTTCCTTGATGGAATTAGGTTTAACACATCATGTGCAGTAGATGTCGTGACCTTGTGACTCCAGCATCACATGGAGAGGCGGTATGTACATCATATCCGGTGAGGATCATGACCTGGTGACGTCTACATCACGTGGCGTTTGTTTACTTTGATGATGTCACTGATGAAACAAACAGATAAGCCACCGTTAAAATTAGTATACACTATTACTACTAACATAGACCAAAAACGTACATTTCTTTAATTACAACTGATTGATCTACTTAGATAAGATCAGGAATAGAAGTTCTTACAAATGCAATCAGGTTGTTGTACATCCAAGCTTACTGCTGTCTACACTCACTAAGGGCAGATCTTCATAAAAATTCTTTTTGGATTTGCCAATTCACCAGGGATCCTTTGGTGGGCAAAATGCAGGCCATGTCATTGAAGTCTTTTCCTTCCCATGCTGGTGAGTCATAAACAAGAAGCCCATCATATGTTTCCTAGCACTTTCTGTCCCCTCTGCCTGTTCTAACCAAGAATAGATGATCACATCTGCTAATAAATCTCTCTGAAATGTTTTTGTTCCTCCCATCCCAACCCCCAAATGTTCGAAACTTGTTACCTGCTGACCGCCATAGGGAGAAGTTGGAGAAGTAGAGGAGCCCAAACCTTCCTTGAGATTTTCAAGGAAGATTTCCTTTGATTTCCAAATGGAATACAACCTCAGCATTTATTGACCACAGGAAGGATTTCCTCTTTTTCCCAACCTTCTTGATTAGTTTTCTACTTGAGCTCCATGTCTGCATCAGAAGGCATTTTTTTTCCCTGTTGATTCATGACTTTCTGATCAATCCCAGATGTCAGCCGAGCATCTGTAGCATGAGCCGGATGGATTTTGTAGGGAGGTGAATGCATTGATGCTTTCCTCCTTTCCAACCCCACCCACTCTCCTGCTTTAAAACAAAAACAAAGTTTATTCAGCTGGACTAGATGGCAGCATGTTCCTTCAGATGGAACTTAAGGTCCATCTTTCTAAATTCCACATTAAGTACACTTTTGTTGGAGTTTTTTTTTTTTTTTTTAAAGAGATGCTTTAAGTCTACAAAGGATCTCTGCAAAAATTAGAGGTGTTTCTGGCCATTGTTTTTGAATGAGAGATTCCCACCATTTCTTTGGCTATGGTTACTATCAATCTGACGACTTTTTCTGGGCCTAGAAAAGAGTGAAGTGAGGGGCTTCTCTTCATTCCTGAAGGTTCTTCTTTGCAGAAGAAAATGAAGACAAGCTGGAAGAGGGCAGAATTACTAGCAGGGGCCCATGCCAAAACAAAACAGGGATTTTGACAGAAGACCCATTGATTCTGTCCACCAATATTGGCCCTGTTTGGTACTCAGATTTGTGTGCACTGAACCAAGTCTAAATTGTACTATACCAGTGTTTTTCAACCTTGGCAACTTTAAGACCTATGGACTTCAACACCCAGAATTCCCCAGCCAGCAAGGCTGGCTGGGGAATTCTAGGAGTTGAAGTTCACAGGTCTTTAAGTTGCCAAGGTTGAGAAACACTGTCCTATACTGTAGTAGGACGTCACCTAAGGGAACCAAGCTGATATAGTCCTATGCAAGTGAAGGACTGCCAATAGACTGGAGTAGATTGAGCAGAGCTTGATGGGTCAATAGTCTGATTGGTACAATCAAATCTCCTGAGTTTCTGGGCAGTCTTGAACTGTCTGGTGGCTGTCCTTGGGAAGAACTAAGGAAAGTGCAGCAGAGCTTGGAATGTCATTCACCTGATGACTGAATGTGGAGATTTTCCTTCTGTCTGTAATTCTTGGGCCAGCCACGTGTACGATGCAGAGCATCTGACATGATGCAGCAAACAGGGACTCAGTTTAGATACGTTGGGTGCATGACCCTGTATTGTGCTACATATTTGGCAAAACAGAAGCCCTGCTGGGGCTCGGTAACCCAGAAACTAACAGCATCATGGAACTGTGCGCTTCTTGGCCACAGACATTCCTGCAGGATTGGGAGCCAAAAGCTCTCAGTGCCTGCTCTCTTTTATCATGAGACGGGAGGCAGTGGTCCAAATCCAGCTTGAGGCTAGTCAGTGATGTTATCTTAAGCTGCATAAAGAGCAAGTGATGCCTTCCATGCCAGGCTGAAATAAGTTGGCAGGCAGATATGTG